CCTCAGGTGTTCTTAATATGCAACCAATATAGGAAACTCCTGTTTGAACTAATAGCAAGTTTCACCACCTGCTGCTGGCCCAGAGGCTAGAGACAATTATGGATTCTGTGGGCAAGAAAGAGGTGGATGGATATGGGAGCTGGGTAGGTCATCAACAATGGCCATCACAGCCAGTTCCATCATTGGGACTCAGAAGATATTGTATACAGGACAGGAAAGCATTCATGGAAAGGAAAAGGGATTGGAGGAAAAGCTGATGGAAGGAAAAATCATAACTATGACCAGGGAGTGTCTACCTGGGAGGGCAACACCAGGTGTGGGGCCCCAGCATTTATCCTGAGCTACTTTAGGATCTCACACTTCACACTTCCCTCTTCCCTGGCTTATCCTCAGTAGGATACCAAATTTTTCTCCTGCATCCGTGGCTCTCAGGTAACACTGCACAAAGGTTGATGGGCCATGGGGAAGGGGGGAGCCAGCAGGAGCCATGGGACAGCAGCCCTAGGTGAACACTCCCAGAAGAATGAAAGGCCATTGAAAAGAAAGACTCCAGGTTGAGATTATTTTCTGTGGCCTAATCTTGCTTCCAGTCTCCTAGAAAACTCACCCAACCACCTGTGCTCATAAAGATTCTAAATAGGACAAATGCCTCTGTTGATTCAGAGAGTCCTCAGGAGAGATGCTCTATGGGTCTTTCTGCCTCTCTTTTCTCAGTCTCTTACTGATAAATATCAGTGTAATCACCCTTTGCTAAACACTGGAATCACCTTGGAAGCCTTAAAAAAATTCCCATTGCCCTAGCCCATCACCACCTCATTCAGTTGGAATCTGTAAGGGGCAGTCATAAGGATCAATAGTTTTTAAAGCTCCCCAGATAATTCCAGGGTGTAGCCAAAGTTGAAAACCACTATCCTATATATTCAACATCCAAGTAAACCAATGAGTACCTTAATTTTTTTTTAAAAAAGAGGTTTTTTTAAAAGATTTTATTTATTCATTCATGACAACCAGAGAGAGAGAGAAAGAGAGAGAGAGAGGCAGAGACATGGGCAGAGGGAGAAGCAGGTTCCATGCAGGGAGCCTGACATGGGACTCGATCCCAGGAGTCTGGGATCATGCCCTGAGCAGAAGGCAGAGGCTCAACTGCTGAGCCACCCAGATGTCCCCCAAAAAAGTTTTATATGAGAATCCTCACCAGTGACTCACTGTAATTGTTAGGTGAATATATCCCTGTAGTGTTAAGTTTCTAAGATAAGATGGAGAGTAGCACCACTTAGACCCTTTCTGGGTGACACATGATGCCTTTTTTCAAGGTGGTGGAGACAGCTACCTACCTACCCAAGACAGGGCACTAACTCAAGTCTGACATCTGTTAATAGGGAAGTATAAGGAGAAGTGTCTTAAACACATGATGAAAGAAGGGAGGAAAATGCCATTAGCAATGCATTTAGAATGCATTGTAAATTATTATTGTAAATTCAGAAATGTACAATAATTGAGTCCATTAGTATCCGTTTATTATTTGGAAAGCCACTCTGCATGTTTTCAGGAAGGCATGGTTACCTGCCAAGGCAACTGAGGTCACTCAGGCAGCTGGGGAACTCAGGGGTGCTCAGTTGGTGGTACAGGCAGCTGGGCTCCTTGTATTAATGAATTTAATCTATAAACTTACTCTGCTCCCTTTCCATAACTATTTTTCTGGAGGGAACTCCCCCCTCAGTCACTTTAGGTAAGCCAGGAGGATAAATATGTTCCCAACAGGTTGGGTTTCTCATCTTCTCATGACAATGGATTCTTTTTATCAAGGTAAATGGGCTCTGCTAGGAACTGTGGGAGGATGAGCTGTAGTCATAATTCTGACACTTTGTTGTACATTAGAATTGCCAGAGAACTTTTACAAATCCTGATGTGGGTGGTTGCATCCCACAGCAATTACAATAGTATCTCTTGATACTATTGTATACCCTGCCTACCCAGGTATTGACATATCTGTTGAAACCCCTGAGGTGATTCTAATGCTCAGCCAAGTCTGAGGACCAGTAAGCTAGAGGTATGATCCTCAAACCTCCAGGTGACCCATTAGGATCCTCCGGGAGCTTTTAAAACTATCAATGTCCCACTCTCAGAAATTTTTGTCTAATTGGCCTGGGGTAAGACCTGCATATTGGGATTTTTTTGAAAGTCCCCCAGGTAGGATATTAATATGCAACCTGTGTTAAAAAGCACTGGGCTGGAGGGTGGCAGCTGACCATAGCCAAATGGTGGTCACCCTCACCAAAACCTTGGCAAGGATCAGAATTTGCCAGGGAACTTGGGAAGAAGGTCCAGACCCTGTCCATTCTTGGTAAGCCCGGGCCCCTGCCCAGTTTATTAGCTCTCCAGGTGATTCTCATACCCATTTTCACAAAGTGGAGGAGGCACTGTCCAGCAGGATCTCTTTTGTGAAGCATGTGAACCTGAGCAATTTCACATGCCCCACACTTCTGTAAGCCGGATGCTAATTTCAAACGCTCAAGAGAAGCATCAGTTTGAAAGGGTACCCGGGCTGATAGATCTTCAGTACAATTAAGAATCCATTTGTAAATATCATCACCCCACACACACAGTTGGTCTGTTTTCAAACTGTGCCTGAACTAGTGAAATTTTGTTGCATCGGTGTTTGCATTCCTATATAAAATGAGCTCTTAACCTCACCGCTGAAATCAGAGCAAACTTACTCTTGATGTAATGGGACCTATTTGATAACAGTGCTGTCAGAGGACAGGACCACCTTTTCTGTGCCAGGAAACAGCTCTGCTAGGCCTCTGTGGATAACGCTGCTGCTTTAAGGGGAACTGTTTTCTCCTGTGTTAGGTTCACACTTGTATAAGGATGAGAAATATCCTAATAGGGAACACCTGGGCTCAGTGGTCGAGCGTCTGCCTTTGGCTCAGGTTGTGATCCCGGGGGTCCCGGGATCAAGTCCCACATTAGGCTCCCCATGGGGAGCCTGCTTCTCCCTCTGCCTAAGTCTCTGCCTTTCTCTCTGTGTCTCTCATGAATAAATAAACAAAACCTTAAAAAAAAAGAAGAAGAAGAAGAAGAAGGAGAAATGTCCTAACAGCCTATGCTTTGGATTTAAGTCATTGCTATAACAACTCATTGAGCTTTCAACTCTGTTTTTCTCTTGCTACATGAGCTTATTATTAGAGATGTGGGAAGAGATGGATGGATAAATTCACTGTACGCATACTGAGTGCTTACTGTGTAAACAGGAGATAGTCCCTACCATCAAGTGGCTGTGCTAATGGCAGGGAAAGAGAAAAGGATCTGCAGCAGAAGCCTAGCTGCTAGAAAACCCAGAGAAGAAACATTCAAACTAATCTAGGGGCGTCTCAGAGGCTTTTTGTAAGTGACAACACCTAAACAGGATATTGAAGCACAGAGAGAGTTGGCCAGGCATTCCAGACAGAGGACTGAGTCTGTGCCCATGCACAGAGCTTTGAGAAAGCCTGTGGGGGTGGATCACAATGGCCAGGGTAAGGTGCCTTTGATAGACCCACACGAAGTAGGGCTGATCATGAAAGGTCTCATATAACAAGCCAAAAAAGACTTGTATAACACACTAAATAATTTTTCCAAAGGCAACAAAGTCATTGAAGGATTTTTTGAACAGGGAACTGAACAAAACCCAATTTGAGTTTTAAGAAAAACACCTCAATGTCAGTGTGGAGGATGGATTTGAGGGAGAAGAGACAAAAGCCAAGGCCTTAACCTTGGCTATACATTGGAATAATCTGGGCCTCGCCTCTGAAAATTCGAATGTAATGGGTTTGGGGTGTGACTTGGGCATAAGGATTGTTAAAAGTTCTCCAAGTGATTCTGTGTGGCTGGGGTCGGAAGCCATGGGTATTTGCAGAAAGGTCATGTAGAGGTGAAAGAAATAATCTAACTAATGGAGTAAAGCTATCTTGTTCAACGAGATAGCAGTCAAAGGGAGCACAAAACAGGACCATTACTGCTGGCAGGTGAGGCAAGGGGAGGAGTCAAGTACAACTCCCAAGTTTGGGGTTCATGATAAAGGGAAAGCAGGGGTACAATTTACTTAGAGTGAGACTGAGAAGGAAAACCAAATTTAGGAGAGAAGGGGAGATTCAGTTTTTTAAAAAATGAGAGGCACATACACATATATGACCAACTCACAAAGATTTAAGGATCTGAGGACTAGATTCCTGTGAACAGCAGAGTGTCAAGCGTAAGTGAGGTGCCTAAGGGAGAATGTTTAGGGTTGGAAATGAAGAAAGCTGAGACTAGAAATCTGGGACATGTTAGTAAAGACTGAACACAGAAAGAGGAACCAGGAAATGAGGCTGAGAAGGGCTGAAAAGAAATCAGGATCTTGCATTTTAAAAACAACAACAAACAAACAAAAACAGTATATTTAACCAAGCAGGAGGTAAAAGGTTTATGTACTGAAAACTACAAGACATTAATGAAAGAATTGAAGACACAAAGAAATATCATGGAAAGATATTCCATGTCGGTGGATTAGAAGAATTAATATTGTTAGAATGTCCATATTGCCTAAAGCAACCTACAGATCCAGTGCACTCCCTATCAAAATTCTAGTGGCATTTTTCACAGGAATAGAATAATCCTAAAATGTGTATGGAACCTTAAAAGACCCCAAAATTAGCCAAAGCAATCTTAAAAAGAAGTTGGAGGCATTATACTCCCTGATTTCAAACTATACAACAAAACTATCATAATCAAAACAGGATAGTATTGACATAAAAACTGTCATATAGCTCGATGGAACAGAGCCCGGGAATAAATCCATGCATGTAAGGTCAATTAATTTATGACAAAAGTGGCAAGAGTATACAAAGGAAGCAAGAAGGATAGTCCCTTCAATAAATGATACTGGGAAAACTGGATCATTTATCTTACGCTATACACAAAAATAAATTCAAAATGTATTACAGGCTCGAACATAAGACCTAAAGCCGGCGTTCCCGCCGCTTGGCCAGAATTCTAAGGCTTTCTGCAGAGATTTGAAAAATGGCAACAAATGAAAGTATCAGCATCTTTAGTTCAGCATCCTTGGCTGTGGAGTATGTAGATTCACTTTTACCTGAGAACCCTCTACAGGAACCATTTAAAAATGCTTGGAACTATATGTTGAATAATTATACAAGGTTCCAGATTGCAACATGGGGATCCTTGATAGTTCACCAAGTTCTTTATTTCTTATTCTGTTTACCTGGATTTTTGTTTCAATTTATACCTTTCATGAAAAAGTACAAAATTCAACAGGATAAACCAGAAACCTGGGAAAACCAATGGAAATGTTTTAAAGTACTTCTCTTTAATCACTTTTGTATCCAGCTTCCTTTGATCTGTGGAACTTATTATTTTACAGAGTATTTTAATATACCTCATGATTGGGAAAGAATGCCAAGATGGTATATGCTTTTGGCAAGATGCTTTGGCTGTGCGGTGACTGAGGACACCTGGCACTATTTCCTGCTTAGGCTCTTGCATCACAAAAGAATATATAAATATATTCGTAAAGTTCATCATGAGTTTCAGGCTCCATTTGGAATGGAAGCTGAATATGCACATCCTTTGGAAACTCTGATTCTTGGAACTGGATTTTTCATCGGAATCATGCTTTTATGTGATCATGTCATTCTCCTTTGGGCATGGGTGACCATTCATTTGATAGAAACTATTGATGTCCATAGTGGCTATGACATTCCCCTGAACCCTTTAAGTCTGATCCCTTTCTATGCTGGTTCTCGGCATCATGATTTCCACCACATGAACTTCATCGGAAACTATGCTTCCACATTTACATGGTGGGATAGAATTTTCGGAACAGACTCTCAATTTACTGCCTATAATGAAAAGATGAAGAAGATTGAGAAAAAGATGCAATACATATCTCCTCTCCACCATCCTGAAAGCACACACCTCCCTGAATTGAAGCGAACAGCTAACCTTGCTTCTGCGGAGCAGAAATAAACCTGTGTCTTGGCTGCTAAGTGATACAAAGAACATTAACAACCTTTAATTATCTTCCTAGCGGGAACTTTTTCTACTTTACATAAAAGTTCTGTATGTGTAGAAATAAGTAAATCTATAACGAAGTATGATTTTCACGAGGAGGTTGTAAAGGCCGTGTTGCTAACCTTACAGAAAGGTTCTAAGTAATGGAAAAAGTATCAGTCTGTCTTTCCCCCGTAACACCAGAGGCCTGAAGCTAAGATGGGTCTTTAAAATCTTGTAAATATATAGTGGCCATTTCAGTATCTCTTAGCAGGGTGTTGGCCTCATATTGAACTTTAAACATTTTCTAGAATTTGCCTAAACATCCAAGTATCATGGGTCGAACCGTATGGATCGACAGTGAGAGTGAGGCAGCCAAATCCGGAATAGCCTGCCCCAAGAACTTCCACTCTGGTCCTGAGCTGACTGGTTTGGGGTGATTCTCCTTCTTTGAGAAGCACTTTCAGATGGCAATGTGCTACTGGTATCTATAAATTAAAGCGTTTCCGAATTGTCATAAATCGGATATTTTAGTCTAAAGGTTTTTGGGTTACTTGAATTTTTTTTTTAAAAATTGAGCTTTATTTCTGCTATTTACCCTTTCATTTTTGTATATCAAGTTTTCATTATACTTAAAACTGTATCTTGAAACATTGTGAACTGACTTGCTGTATTTGTACTTCTAACTATTGAAATAAATGTGATTTTTTTTGGTCTGATTATCTGGTTTCTGGTTTTGAACATCAGTAGTGACTTTTTTTTATATCTTATTCTTATAAGGAAAAGTACAGAAGTAATTAAATCACTAAGTTTTGTAACAAAAGGAATAATTCTGCTTTTTTTTTTTAAAAAAAAAAAAAAGACCTAAAGCCATTAGACTCCTAAAAAAAAAAAAAAAAAAAACATAGGTGGTAAGCTTCTTGACATAGGTCCTAACATTGATTTTTTTCACTCTGACATCAAAAGCAAAAGCAGAAAGGAAAAAGTGAGACTAACTAAAAAGCTTCTGCACAACAAAGGAAGCCATCAGCAAAATGGAAAGGCAACCTACTGAATGGGAGAAAATATTTTCAACCACATATCTGATAAGGGAATAATATCCAAAATATATAAAGAACTCATAAAATTCAATACCAAAACAAAAACTAAAACAAGGTCACAATACAATTTAAAAAGGGTCAGAGGACCTGAGCAGATATTTTTCCAAAGAAAACATGGAGATGGCCAACAGGTGTATGACAGGGTGCTCGACATCACCGATCATCAGGGAAATGCAAATCAAAGCCGCACCTGTCAGAATGGCTATTAGTAAAAAGACAAGAAATAACAAGTGTTAGTGAGAATATAGGGGAAAAGGAAACCGTGTGCACCATCAATGGGAATGTAAATTGGTACAGCCACTGTGGCAAACAGTGTGCAGTTTCTCATAAAAATTAAACCTGAAGCACCTCATGATCCAACAATTGCACTTCTGGGTATTTATTGGAAGAAAACAGAAACACTAATTTGAAAAGATATATACACATTATTTTTACTGCAGCATTATTGACAATAGCCAAGACATGGAAACAACCTAAGTGTCCATTGATGGATGAATGAATGAAGAAATATGATATGTATATACCATGGAGTATCATGAAAAGAATGAGATCTTGCCATTTGCAACAACATGGGTGAACCTTGAGGACATTATGCTTAGTGAAATAAGTCAGAGAAAGACAAACATCATACTATCTCTCTTATTTGTGGAATCTAAGGGAAAAAAACCAAGCTCATAGAGACAGAGAACAGATTCAGATTGGTGGTTGTCAGAGGTAGTAGGGAGTCGGAGGTGACAGAAATGGGTGAACTCTTTTGTTTTTCACTTAAATTTTAGAAAAAAGAGAGAGAGGGCATCTAGCGAGGCATGGGAGACAAGGCACCAGTGATCAACACTGAAAATTAAAAAACAAATAGGGCCAGAACTGAAATTCCTTGGCTGGGTGATTGGAGAGGCACAGTTGACTTCAGACAAGTCAGTTCATTGGAGTGGGGAAGGCAGAAGTCAGATCGTGGTAGTTTGCAGAGACCAGATGAGGAGAAGCAGAGAATCAGCAAGTGTTGACTTGCTCTGAAGAAATCAAGCTATGGGAGGAGGGTGAGAGGTCAGAGCATATCTAGGGGAGGATGAGGATCAAGGCTGTTTTCTCGGGGGGGGGGGGGGGGCAGGTACAAGAAAGGAGAGCCCTGAACACATCTGTAGCAGAAGAAAGGAAGGGAAAGATGGGACACACATGAAAAAGGAGAGTGATGGGTGAATGGAGGACCACAAGAAGCCAAAGGAAAGAAAGGAAAGAGAGGACCCCTTCCAGGGCGCAGCAGAGGGCTCAGCCTTAGGCAGAGGGAAGGACAGGTGTAAAAAGGACAAAGAAAAAAGGAAAAACACAGGTGGGCTCTGGGTAGGGACTTTGGCACCTTAAGAAAACTCTATCTCATAATCTCTCTTTCTGTCTATGAATTAGGAGGCAGAGTATTTGATGAGGCCATGGTGGTAGGGGGTGGACAGAAAATTTCAGGAAAATGCTAAAAATCTAGTGTCACTGCTCTTGGGAGTGAAAGAGGGTATTGACTGAGGGCCTCACTAGAGCCCATGGGAGATTGGGTATGATATAAATACTATCACCAGTATGATGGTGGGGACAGCTGAAACATGCCAGGGGGGAGCAGTCAGCCCAAGGTGGCAGGCCCTTGCTCTTGCCATTCACTCCTTCCTCTATCCAGCCCCATGTTTACTCCTACACCCCACACTCTACCACCACCCTATACTATGTATGGGGGGGCATCAGCCAGGAACTTGTTAGAACTGGCACTGTCTCAGGTATCACCTCAGACTTCACGTAACAAGAGCCCTAGGAATGTACATTACACTTGGGAACCACTGGTCTAGACTCTCCCGTCTATAGTTCCTGTTGCCTTCTCAATGTCATGAAATGTGTATGCCACTGTTCACTCTGCCTGGAACGCTGGTCTCCCACTCATTCTAGCCAATTCTACTCCTCCTTTAAGACTCTATCTTACCTTCTCTCTGATTCCTCCTAAGACCCTACTGAGAAGAACTATTTGCTACCTCAAATGTGTTTCCATAGACCTCATCTGGGAGCTGCCATGTTGCTTTCATTTATCCTGAGCACCCAACTGGTTGCCAGTGCTCTGTAAGGTGCTCACGTATTCTTGGAATGAAACCCAGACCCCTGATTCCCACTCCTGTGTCCTAACCCATACACTGCGACCATTCTGTGCACATAGAAAGTCATGCCTATTAAAAAAAGATAATAAGCAAACAAAGCTGTAGATGAAGCCTCAAACTCCTCACCGTGCATTTGCCTGATATTGCCCCAAAACTTGGGAAAGCATTGGGTTTGTCGTTTTCTGTAAAAATTCAAAAGGCCATTTATCTCACTCTTTCAGATTTCTTTGCATGCCCCGTGAAGGTCAGGACTCAGGTCCCAAACTTCTTTAGTATCTGTAAAGAAATGCAGTATTTCAAAACATCAGAAGTTGACCATTACTTACTTTTCTAAGAGTGAAAGAAAACCCCTCTGCTTGTTTCTGAGTAGGAAACCCATTTTCTAATATAGGAAGAAAGATCAACTAAATAACAAACATATATAGCCTTTTAATCTACCCTGTAAGGTCCTGGTATGGAAATAAAGTCCCTTTCCCTTTTTACTATCCCTCTGGGGCTTGACACATAGTTGGTGCTCAGTGTGTTTCCAACCAAGCGGAGAGGAGCTATTTCCCTACTTTACCATTCACAGCTAAATTGGACCAAGAAACATATATTAATTGTGGGGCAATCTGTTAAGTACCCTGTGGAGTGATCTGCCCTTATCTTTCAGAGATATGCTTTCTAGACCTGGGATTTGTGGCTGATCACTCCTGCTTGATACCTACCATATCATTAAAATAACCTGGAAACCTAGAAGCCTCACGAAGTAGAAAGGAGAGAAATCCATCCCACAGAATCTCAAACCCATCATCTTATTAATCAGGTTGGGCCCTGAAGAAATAGCTTCTCTCCTCCCCCTAAACATTTCCAGAGATGCTAATACTCAAGATGCTTCCGTCCTCCCCATTCCCTACCCCCAGCTCATTAGACCTGCCAGTCTCTGTGTGGAAAAGGACCTTTATCTCTGTGTCACTGATGTTGCCTTAGAAATCAAAACAAAAACAAAAACAAACAAAAAACAAAAAACCCCACACACCTTAGAAATTCACAGCAAAACCAAGCATGTACCATCAAAAAGTGAGAATTTGTCAGGGGACTCAGTCAAGGTGCCCTGGCTGTATCTGGAACATGTATGTGGGCTTCCTTCAACTAATGATGTGGGGTAGGGAGCTTACCATGAGTTCTGCTCCCAAGACTCCATTCCAGAACTTTTCACAGATTATTTCATTCCATCTTCACAAAAGACGTACAAAGTGGTTATTACCAGTCTCATTCTAGAGACCAGGTAACTAGGCTCAGAAAGACTAAGAAAATTACCCAGAGTAGGAGAGCTCCTAAGGCTATTAAGGATGAGTTCCCAAAGGGGTCATGTTCTGCTTACTTTGAAAGCTATGTTTCTGTTTCTGTTTTTGTTTTTTTATTGCACTAAATTGTCATTGAGTCCTATTTTCTAAGACTATGTGTTTTACATGACAAAAAAAGAAGTATTATGGGATACCATGTAAGGACTTCCTACCAAAGAATCTTGCTCCACTTATTTTTCATGGTAATTGAAATTCCCAAATTACTCACTCTTTGGTATTAAGTCAACGAAAGCTCTCTGTTGGGATGACAATGTTTTCAGTAATGAGAATTCCAACCTAGAACTCATTAAATGTTTATAAGGGTTTATTTTTCCCAAGACCCCATGATGGCCGTTGTGGGGAACACACACACAAAACCTTGTACCCTCAAGAAGCTTACAAGTTAAATAGTCACTTCAAATCTA